TTCCTATCCTTGCACTGGTTAAAGTTGAAGCGTATCTCAGCGGGTGGCGTATTGCAACAAAGCGGTCAAATGCCATGGCTAATAGTACAGACGATTCCATCATGGAGAAAGTTTGAATAAAGAAAAGTTGGGTCAGACAGACATCAATGACAATTTCTCTGGCGTTAAACAGGAAGACGCTGAGCATAGTTGGCAAGGTGGAAACAGATAAGCCAAGGTCAGTGACAGACAACAGAGAAAGGAACATGTACATGGGCTGATGGAGACTGTGCTCTGTCTTGATCACAAACAGAATCAGACTGTTTCCTAGAATTGCAATGAGGTATATGGAACAGAAAGGGATGGAGATCCAGGGGCCATCAGCTTCCAGCCCTGGGATGCCTGCCAGGAGGAATCTTGCAGGACTGATGTTGCTTTCATTGCAGGTTGGCATGATGCACTGGGGAGGTTCTGATCAGTTTCTTAAACCACATCCCCTACAATTAAAAGCAACATGATTGAAAATATGTGACAGCATGACAGAAAATATGGCCCATTATGCCCCCGCTCTTCAGACAGGTTGGAGTCAGTACCTTGATTAAAAACCCTGGTGGTAGTCACACATCCCCAGATCAGTTATAAAATCCCATTACTAATAATATCCTGTTCTTATATAGAGCTTTGCATTTATAAATCTCAAAGTGATTTACAAAAGAGCACAAGTATCAGTGGGTCTGATTCAAAGCCCATTGACACTCATCAGAAGGAGGATGTAGATCCTCATTTAACTGAGGGGGAAACTGAAACACAAAACAGGTAAGCAACTTGTTCAGGGTAACGCAGGAGATCAGTGACAGAACTCAGGTCTCCAGGCTCTCAGCAGAGTGCCCCTTCACTAGACTAGACCACACCCTCTCCCCTAGATGGAGCTTGTCATATGAAGACTTCTATGAACTCATTATTAAAGGGAACATAAGAAAAGCAGAGTGGACCTGAACCAAAACACTGGATCAGAACACTCGTACATTGTGGAACAAGATTTCAGTCTGGATCCAAGTCTCAACACTTTAGCTTGGATCCATGATAAAAAAGTAAATGGTTTAGCTATTTAAAAATCCTGTGAGAGGAGAACAATGATGTGTATTGTGAACGGTCCCCGGGCTGAGAAGCGTTCATAGAAACTACTCAGTGATGACTGACAGGGACTTCTCCAAAGCCACACAAGGAGGCTGTGGTCGAACAGGGAACACAATCCAGCTCTGCTGTGTTTTAGCTGTAAATAAGGCTTCCCTCGCTATTGTACATGATTATGTATGTTATTATTGGAGGGGGAGGGGACGAAAAGAAAAGGAGTCTCTGAACTCTGTGAATGTTAGCTCTGTCCTATCTTCATTCTAGATGCCTCCTTTGCTCACACTGGGTGAGATCCACCCCTGTGGAGAGAGCCAAAATTTCCTCAACCGGAGTTTTGCCATGTGCAAAGTTTACTGTTTAAACACCTATCCTCAGTTCTATGCAAGACAGCTAGGGACATCAACGGGCCCAACAGGCACTAAGCCAGCAAAACACTCATTGAAAGTAAATTTTGTTGGAGCAAAGACAAAAAGCTCCATTTTCCCACTTATGGTATCCGAGCAGACACTCCAGGGGGTGTTATATGCCAAGCAAGCGCCATGCCTCCAGAAGCTGCAGGAAATGCAGGGAGTGCAAATCACCCTTTCAGAGGTTACACACTCTCTCCGATTGGCTAGAAACTATGGTCAGATTATTCAGTATTTGCCAATGCAGGGTTAACTGCACCCCTTCCTGTTAAGTGTCTGGTGCTAGTGACTGTCAGTCAGGTTATGGGTCTAGATAGACCACAGCTGGGACGCGATATGGCCATGCTGAGGCTCCTTCTTACCATACACAGCCCCAGGCAAGTCAATGGTACTTACGACAAAGTACCACAGGGAGCTAAAAACACAAGCTGGCTTTCACTGGGGTTTGGGTTCTTCACTCATGGAAAATTCCGTGCTACAAGGGTAATGTTTGCACCATCTGGGCCCTCAGATTGCAAGCACCACAAGGGAGGGACCTGTCTTCCGAGGAGTTTGGGTCCTATATACAACAACGAATAACGATGCTGATCATAAGAATGTGCAGGTCTCATTGGTTACAGAGTAAACGTTCCAAGCAGTTGAGACTGCCTGTCCCTGTCCGTGAAATAACTCCAGTGTGCTCAGCGCACTTACCAAAGCCACGAAAGTAGCAGCTGGAGAGTGTTCATCCTTGACTCCTGAGGAAGCAGAGCCTGAACAGCCTGGGCAGCAGCATTCCCTCTCTCTGTCAGGCACGCAGTGCAGCAATGTTTATAGCCCAGTGGGTAAAAGCTCTGGAGGACAGATAATCAATTGGGAATCACCGTTGATCACATTGTTACCCGTTTTAGCTCGACCAGCACAAATGGAAAAGACTTAAAGGATGAATGATTTGAAGTATTTCTGCAGCGACTGGTGCAGTGTCCTGGATTTAGGGGTAACCCAATTCACAAGTTTGGGAGGAGGTATTGTTTCATATTCTCTGTGTGTATATAAAGTCTGCTGCAGTTTCCACGGTATACATCTGATGAAGTGAGCTGTAGCTCACGAAAGCTCATGCTCAAATAAATTGGTTAGTCTCTAAGGTGCCACAAGTACTCCTTTTCTTTTTGCCAATTCACAAGATGTTTCGCAACATTCAGCAATCGCCCATCTCAGAGCTGGGGTAAATGGTGTAATGCATGAGTTAGGAGACTGGCACTGACTTGCTTTCGGTCAGGATTTGACCCTGATATTTTTTTCTCAAAGAGACGTTAGTTCTTGTGAAAGGTGCCAGCTTGACAGACCTGGAGATGCCTGTGCTATAAGGAGCCAAAATTCCACACGTACTATTGTGGATGGACAGCACCAAGGGTGTACTGTTCAGCACGTGGGCGAGTGAACTTGTAGTCTTTCCATTACCTGGATTTGAAAAAATTTATTTTATTGTGCAACTTAAACAAAGCAGCCAGATCTCCCCACAGTTCTAGGGAATCTCCGACAGCCCCCATGTATATTCTGCAGCCATAACATACATCCTCCTAGGAATAGCCAAAGCCACCCCCACACCATCGATTCTCCTCCTACTCCATCAAGCCCCATTCCAACCATGAACTCATTATGCAGCCCCTTCTCCAGCCCAGTAATCCTCTCTCCCCAATCCCCAATCCCCTCCTCGCCCTGTCACCCATTTCCCCACTCCAGGATAAGGGGGCCTTTCCCCCACTCTCCTCTCACACGCCATCAGCCCCTCCATATTCCCTGCCCTGAGAGGACAAGGGGGGCTGCCATTTGCCCTGCCCCTCACAGGCCATCCGCCCCTCCATTTCACTCTTTTGGGCAGTCGTTCAGGGAAAAATTCTGCCTTCCCTCAGCTCATCTCCCTTGGAGCTCCTGGTTGCTCTCCTCCCTGGTATGCCACTAAATCAGCTGCTCCCCTGTCTTTCTGCCTTTCTCAAGCACTTTCCTCACACTTGATTTCTCTGCCCCATTGTCCTGATCATTTACTTGTTAAATGTTTGGCTTCCTTGAATTCAATTGGAAATGTAGCTACAAGATCAGTGGATTTGGGAAGTAATCCTGCTGCTTTGGATAGGTCTGTGTCTTTGGATTGTAGCAGTTTTGAAACAGCATTTACCATTTCCCTGAATCCTTCTTTGGAGCACAATGAGAAAAACAAAACTAAAAATTTCCATTCATTTCTTTAATGCTGAAGGCTTGGAAACTTCAACGGCACTTTTCTCAGGAGAATTATTTCCATGGGTGCCTTCATTGTCTCTAAACACTGAAGGTGAGAGGAAGGAGTGATTCACACTGGTTGTTGATCAATTGTGTAGTCAATTGTTTGACCAAGCTTTCATTTGCAATCATTTGTATGATAGGATACCAGTTTTTTGGAAGCAGTGATGTTGCATGCACCTTATGCAGAACGTCTGCTCCGCAAAGTTACACATTTCAGCTTTTATCACGTATTTGAAGATTTCACAAGTTACACATCTCTTGAAATGTCACTGAAATCCCACCCATCAGCTTGTCCCTGTTCCCGCAATTAAGTGGGGAGCTCTAGCCCATAAGGCCAGTTTGCTAGCTTGCTACAGTGTGTTTTTTTCATTAATTTGATTGAGTCTATTATTTGGGGGGGTTGTTTGTGCTGAATTCCAGTACATGTTATTCATAATTGTTGTTCATAATAGTTGCCTGGAACGCAATGAACCTACAGGCCTCTATCCTCTATGATTATCTAGAGCAAGTTAGTATAAGGGTTTGTAACCTTTGGCATAGATAAATGGCCTACCAGTTACCCCGCTTGACTTTGGGGAACTCAATAGGGAACAGAATTAAATATGTTTACCATCGGTCTGGAACAGACCGGTAACTGCAGGGTACACTGCAGGACATGGAAGTCATAAGTTAGGCCAAGGGTAACGGTTTTAGGGAATAGATAATCGATATTACTATGTATGAATATATGTCATAATATGTTAATCTATATAGTAAGTGTACCCGAAGATGTCTCTGGGTAAGGAAATAAGATTTGGGCATGATAGGCTGTGTCCTGATTGTGTGTTAAGGAAAAGTTAGCACATGTGACTCCATTTTGGTTTGGGGCCCACCATTGTTTAAATGCCAGCACATCATACACCAGGAGGAGTGATCCTTAGATACTGAATCCCTGTGAAAATCCTCCTCCTTGTCTCCAGCCTGCCTTGACTCCCAGTATCTGGTTTTTGTCAGTCTCTAACTCCCTGTCTCTTGGCCTTGATGTGAGGCCTCCCATCCTGATAATAAAGGTTACTGATGCATAGCTTTAGGACCATGCTGTGTAATTAACATACTGGTATAGCACGAGGAATGCACCAAGCAGGGATAGGTGGTAGATAAGCCAAGGGTTTGTTTATTGGCTAAGGTTTCCGATGCACGAGGGCAACATGCTTTGCTAAAAGGTATATAACCTTTGTATAATCTGCATTCAGGGTCCCCTCCTGGCTAGCAGGGGGGCACCACGCTCAAGCGTAATAAACTTAGTGTCTTTTGGGAACTCTGCAGTTGTGGACTTTGTTTCTGTGCCTCAGCCTAGATTCGAACTGTGCGTGTCCTATCAGGTATAATTCGCAGCACTGTTGTGCGTGTCCTACCAGGTATAATTCGCAGCATTTGTGTGCATGTCCTACCAGGTATAATTCGCAGCAGTTTTGGCGACCACGAAGGGACTCTAGGCTCGCCGCAACAAGCAAGGCTACACTCCTCCTCTGGGACAGCTCCAGCCGGCACAGGGTGAGTTCACCTTTGAGAACTCCAAGGAACGGGGGTGTGAGCCGTCGCTTAGGTGATAAGGTGGCACATTTGGTGTCCTTTTGGTAGCCCATTATGGGTTCTGGGCAGAGTGTAAGTAAGGGGACCCCTTTGGCTGAAATTCTCGAGAATTGGGGGACTATTTCTGGTACCCATAGGTTAGGTAAAAAAAAAAAAAAAAAAAAAGCTGTAATCTTGTGCAAGGTTGAGTGGCCAGCACTAACAACTCAAACACCTTTTGACTGGCCACCGGATGGTTCCTTTGCTGGGGAAAAATTAACAACGCTTAGGAAAAGGCTGGAAAACAAAGCTCCAGCCCAGATGGATTATTGGTATGTATGGAACAACTGGGCTTATGCGAGTGCGAAAGGACGTCCTCTTTCCTCCTCCTTTTCTTATTCATCTCAGGGGTCTCCAGCCCCGTTCTGTGCTATGCCTGCTTCTGCCCCTCCTCCGGCTTACCCTCCGCTTTCTGACTTATGCCTGTCACCTCCTTGCTTGCCAATTAGCCGTGCTTTCTGTCCAGGTTACAAGCCTCATGGGGGGAGGACTCGGGTAGCCCTTGTAAGTAAAAATATTTAAGAAAAGAGACCAGGAGGGCTGGGGGCTAGTTAAGAAGCCCACCCTCCTTGTTAATTTGGTAGTGAAACAAAGCTGGTGCTCATGGAAGGGACAGTTCAGAGAAAAAAAAACAGGATCGGGCCCAAGCAGGCAGGCAACAGATAGAGAGATTGGAAAACAGGTTGGAAACTTGAAGGTCATAGTGAAAAAAGAGGAGTAAATAATTACAGGAATGGAAAACGTAAATCCCGGAATAATATTTGGAATAGTAAAATCTAAGTTAATTGGGTGTCGTTTTGGGAAATAAGCAAGTGATTCAAGAAAGTAAAGTAAGAAGTTAACTCTTTAGTTGCTGGAAAGAATTAAGCAGTTGAACTTTGTGAAATACTGGAAAGAAAAAAAATTCTTGGTTTCTTTGCAGCCATTTTGGAAAAAAATGGGCCCTTTTCCAAAGAAATGCAATTATACAGTGCTACTTAATATCTTATTAGGCTCCAAGGGGCTACAATAGGTGGTGTCTTCCTTTTCAGGTCGCTGTGTGTTTGACAGCAGGAGTTAAAAGTAAAAGGCAATCAAAAGTCTTGTAAAGTTTATTGTGCCCTTTTTAAAGTAAAAATCTTTAACCTGCGGATCCAAAAGCAAGCCGGAAAGGATTTGTTTAAATGTAAATTACCTAACTGATAAGGTAGAGGCCATTGAAACCTGGGCTGCCTATAAAACAAATACAAGAAAATATGGGTAATTCCTCTGTTTTGCCAAGGGTATTTGTATAAAAAGTAAATATTTTAAGCAATGACTGACTGCCCAAAAGGGGTAGATCTGTGTTTTATTTTTGTCTTTCAGAAAAACAGAGAAAACTGATGCCAGCTGAAAAGCAATTCAACATCTCATGAATTTACTGGCACAATAGGAATTCTGTTCTGTGTTCTATGTCCTGTCTTGTGGTGTTTGTCTTGTGGCCAGAATTGCTGTGTTTAATTTTTCATAGGACAGTTTAGTTTAAAACTAAATAGAAGGGTTAAATCAAAATGCAGATACTTGTTTTATTCAACTTGGAATACAAAGTGTTTGGATAATATCAAAAAATGTAATATACTAAAGTTTAATACATTTGCTTAAGTAAAAAAAAAAAAAATTCATTGGCCAGATCGTTTAATTGAAAAAAAATATTGTTAAAATTTGCACACCGACAGTCTTTGGAAGCAAGGACATGAAAGGTTAACCCACTCCCCATATTATACATGGGATCCTTCTGGCTACCTCACATTTCTAGCCAGAGGGCTGGGGAGGGAGGAAAGCTATTGGACACCAGAGGTTGTACCAAGTGGACTCCTCAAAAGTGGGTGTGCTTGTCCTGGCTTGTTGCTCCAAAGCTCTGTAATAAAGTCATTTTTCTAGAAGGGTGTATGTGGCATACATTAAACAATAAGAACTAAAGTGCTGTATGATGGGCAATGTACATGTGTTCCTTTTTAAACAAAGGTGTATAAGTAAAAAGTGAAAGTTTCCTTTGCAGGTTAATAAAAGCCAAGAAGGGGAAAAGAAATAAAACGGAGGACGAGCTAATTCAACGCTGCAGCTGGCAGGCTCGGTCCAAAGATAAGACACTGGCCTGCCCAAGGACACTACTCACAGCTAGGATTTGGCTAACAGCCAAGAAAGAGGGGGGCTTGAATGTGCCCAAGCAGCTGTGAGATCTGCAACACACTGCCAGACATTAATGAAATGCGTTAGGTCTCTGTATTTACAGGTAAAAGAAGTCCTGCTTCAAGAATCCTGAGCAAACCTGCCATTTGTTAAAACCAGGTGACTGGGTCTAAATAAAGGTCCATCAACAAAAGACTACTCTGGCCCCATGCTGGAAAGGCCCTTATTAAGTCCTGCTAACTACCAACACCGCTGTGAAGTGCCAAGGACTGACTGCCTGGACCCATGCTTCTTACTGCAAAAAGACCCCTCCAACTCGAGATGACTTCACTTAGACTACTGATCAGCCTGTCCCTCCTTCTGGGTTTTTTTTTTCTTTCCTCCTTTTAAACAGCAGGGAAAAAAAAAAAAAAACAAGGTGAAGTGCTAGTAACCTCTCCCTTGTCCAATGACAGAGCTAACCTGCATTCAGTATTTGCTAAAGAAACCAAAGCACTACAGGGTGACGTGCTAGTAACCTCTCCCCTGTATAATGCAAAACCATGACTGTTTCAAGAAAGTTAAGTTGGCGCTGGGACCCCCACCTGACCCTGACAAGCCATTGGACGAGCCACTTCACGAATGAACACCACGACCAACCCATGGACTGAGCTTTCCAGCTACTGGGACCTTCACAGCCCACCAGGACTTTTTGTGTTCCTGTTTATTGGACTTACATTGGGGGTAGTGTTTTTTGTATGGTACAGGGGAGGATGTCGACATTGGTATGGTTTGCCTGGGGGGGTCCTCTCCCTATTCCCAAGTCCAGTACAAGGATGGGAGGGCAATAGCTTCTTGAATTTAACCCGTGCTATCAAACAGGGTGTAAATCAAACGCAGTGTTGGATTTGTATTCATACCCCCACATATTTATGTCAGGGGGTCCCGTTGGTAGGGGTACCTATCCCCCTTAATCGAACACTCCAAGCTAAGCTATGGGAAAACACTACATTTAACTGGAATATTACAATCCAAATATGGTCTATTGATATGGTGGCCCAGAGTAATTATGCTTTATGTGTGTCACGACGTAAGGGCATAGAAAATACAGATTTTGTAGGGAATTTTGTGGGGTGCAAGGACACCACCCAAATCAGCTCTGGTGCAGGAGGTCCCTTTACCTACTCCAGAACCCCATGGCCGGTCCCCAAGGGGTCTGGCTGGTATTGGTTATGCAAACTCACAGCCTATAAGGTTCTCCCAGCAGGATGGTGTGGTACATGTACCTTAGGGGATATAGTACCCGCCGTGACAGTACACCAGAACCTGACCCGGGGAGAGATCCGCAATCTAGTATGGAGGGACACACGAAGTATTCCTTTAAACCCCCTTTCTCAATGGCCCAAAGGCTTTCACTCCTTTGTGCGTTGGTTTCTGCCATGGTTGGGAGTAAGCAAGCTGGAAAAAGCTATAGTTAACATTTCAGCTGCTTTGGAACTAATGGCAAATACTACTGCAGATGCTCTATCTGCCCTTCAAATTGAAGTCACCCAGCCATCCCAAACTACATTGCAAAACCGCCTAGCCCTGGATTATCTCCTTGCAAATCAGGGCGGGGTTTGTGCTCTGGTCAACTCAAGCTGTTGTGTATGTGTAAATCAGCACCATAGGGTGGAAACTGACATCCACATCCTCAAGCAACAGGCAGCCCTATTCCACCACATCAGCCTCGACACTACCAGCGCCGGATTCCAGGAGGTCTGGGACTGGCTCACCTCATGGCTACCGGATGTGGGGACTTGGGGACGGCATATTTTGTATTTACTTTTTTTGACTGTTATTGTTTTTGCGTTATTTTTTGTATGCCTACAACGCTGCAGTATGTGCTGTCGGCAGTTGCTAACCCTGCAGCGCGGTTACTCAGCCCCAATATAGCTTACCGACGTACAAAAAGAAAGGGAGGACTGTTAAGGAAAAGTTAGCACATGTGACTCCATTTTGGTTTGGGGCCCACCATTGTTTAAATGCCAGCACATCATACACCAGGAGGAATAATCCTTAGATACTGAATCCCTGTGAAAATCCTCCTCCTTGTCTCCAGCCTGCCTTGACTCCCAGTATCTGGTTTTTGTTAGACTCTAACTCCCTGTCTCTTAGCCTTGATGTGAGGCCTCCCATCCTGATAATAAAAGTTACTGATGCATGGCTTTAGGACCATGCTGTGTAATTAACATACTGGTATAGCACGAGGAATGCACCAAGCAGGGATAGGTGGTAGATAAGACAAGGGTTTGTTTATTGGCTAAGGTTTCCGATGCACAAGGGCAACATGCTTTGCTAAAAAGTATATAACCTTTGTATAATCTGCATTCAGGGTCCCCTCCTGGCTAGCAGGGGAGCACCACGCTCGAGCGTAATAAACTTAGTGTCTTTTGGGAACTCTGCAGTTGTGGACTTTGTTTCTGTGCCTCAGCCTAGATTCGAACTGTGCGTGACCTATCAGGTATAATTCGCAGCATTTGTGTGCGTGTCCTATCAGGTGTAATTTGTAACATTGAGGCAGGGCCAGCATCCTATAAGAGGGCAAACAACCATGCAGGAGGGTGGCTCTCTCCCCACTCTGTGGTACTCTCTTCACACCAGACACTTCCCTGACCCACTGATCACTACATTAAGTTCAAACCAAATATAGGTTATTAAACAGCAACTGTAAGAAAAATTTGCAAAAAATGGGAAAGGTTCAAGGAAACAAGGAACATCGCTCAGTGGGCACAGGGACATCACAGACAGCTGTCTCTGGGACATAAGGAAAGATCGCAGGCTGTTCCTCACATGTCCCAGGCCTCCTGCCCAGGCACTGGCTGCTCTGTTGTGATACTGCAGGAAAGGCACCTTCTCTGAAAGTGGCCACACACGCTCAGGGTCTAGGTGGCAGGACCCTTCTCCCCAGCATCGGCCCTTTCATCAGCTGGCGAGAGCAAGGTGGGTAACAGAATGGCTCATTACAGATAGTTGACAAGAAGGCATGAGTAACAGTAGGGAGAAATTTGTATTGGGGAAATATAATTTAGGTTTTGTAATGACCCAACCACTCCAAACCTCTGTTCAGGCCTACAGAAAAAGGCAACTCATCGAAATTCCACTCTGCAGAGAGAGGATATCTCCTTAGTGCACCACGAAGGCAGAGCCCGGAGAATCAGTGTATGAATCTCACGTCTGACACTCGCCGTGCTGAACAGCCACCTTTATGATTCCCCTGAACAGTCCCTGAGGACTTTCAGGTTGGCCAGGACTCCCAGACAATTCCCTCAGCTCCGTGAACAGCAGGAGGAGCAGAAAATAGACACTAGAGAACTTCAGCTGGAGAGCCTCCCTCGGGAGTAAAGAAATGATTCTCTGATCCCAGAGGCTCAGGTTGTCAGGACAAACTGAGTCTTCCAAATTGTTCAGCCTGTTGACAAATGTTTGGCTGTGTGTGTCTGTTCTTTCTGCCTGCTGTGCTGACTCTGGCCAGATAGCCCATACAGCAGGCTCCAATTGAACTACCCAATAAATCCACAGAGTCGGTTGTCAGTGAAGGAACTTGGTCAGTTTTATAGCTAACGAGGCACTGTGCTAATTCCCCAGATCAGTGGTTACAGGTACACGAGCACATGTATGCCAAAACAATGGACTGGCTACATGAATGGCGGGACTTTCTATTCTCTCATTCATTCAGAGAAAGACATTGCTCTGAGATACATCTTTATGCATAGATGCAAACAAGTTAAGCATTTCTCCTGATGTATCAGGGTACCACCCTCTAATGTATTGACATGCCACCCATTGACGTGTCCAGGTGCCATCCATTACCTTGTACATATTGGTTTCCTCAAATATCTCTATCCATTATGCCGTTATCCTGACATTATCGTTAAGATGGGTCAGCGTCTTCCTGTTATCTTTGGGGAATGGGTTTGGCATCCAGGTGTTCTGGTATCAGCTTCTGGAAACTGTTTGCATATTTATTCTTGTGCTGACCACTACTTAGGAACGTGTGTTTCTGCAATATCAGTCCTGTTCCTGCCACATTCTGTAAGCCGGGCCTGTCCCTTGCTCACAACTTAACTTTGCTTTATAGCTGCAAAGTTTTGACTACTTTAACCCAGGTCTCAGGCCTCACACCAGGCCTCGACTACAAGGGATTATATTTCAGGCCCTCTTCCTCCTACACAGCTTAGCAACTGATGACGTCCTTCTTTTGTGTGTGTAATATACTGCCATCTGCACTGTGTGTGGGAAATGATTCCATAAGCTATGGGAGCTAAAAGCATTTTCAATGGATCATTGCAGCATAGCTCTGCATACCACCCTTGCAGTAGCAATGTTTCGTCGATTAGCTTTGAAAAGTAACTGCCACCCTGTGGAGGCCAATTGACGTGATCCGAAAATAATACAGGCCAAAGAGCATGGAAAAGGATTTCTTCTTCCCAGGACACTGCCATCAACAATATTTGTCAGTGTCTTCTTTTGAGGTCTCAAGTGGATATATATCTGGCACCTCCCAATTGTTCCAGTAATTCATCGTCTCTTTCGATTGGGTAAGCATGAAATTTCAATAGTGTGTACATCTTTCAGAAATCGATGTAGGAAGAGGTTGTGCTATCCTGTGTCAGAACTAGTACCATGGGGACTTCTCCACACACTGTGTGATTTTTTCACCACTTCCAGGGCCAAAATCACCTGGCGTTCTTCTCACACAGTATCCCACATTGTACAAGGGAACAGCCATGGAATTTCCCCAATCTTTGCCCTGCAGCCATTTCAGTATGGTAGTATTTTAGGTAAGTGTGCCCTGCCAGGGTGAGAACACAGGGGAAAGGAATCAAACAACTTCTACATCTGGATCTTTGGTTCGGGCTGCCATCCCTCCCCCATACTTGCAGGTATTTCCAGGAGTTCTCTTGTGCGGGGATGGAGGCCACTAGATGATGTCTCACCCCACCTTATGTAGAATTAACATCAAGTGGGAATCCTTTGTTCCAAAAACAGTTCCCAATCCAGTTTGTGGAAAAATACAGATACCCAAAATGGAGTTCAGTGTCATGTGGTCTGTTCACATGCTTTTGCATGCCCTGCTGAGTCATAGCAGCAATTAGCCATAAGCAGTCTGGAGGGTTTTCACGAAGGCTCACCAGATGGGGGATAAGGCCAGGTCATTACCATGAATAGGTCCTTAACAATCCATTGTCAAGACTGGAAGCATTTTGCCTCGTGTGCGTCACCCAGGTGTAACTACATCTGAAATACAGATACATAGTCAATATTCATAACTCCACATACAAAAATGATACATGCACACAAAGAGGATCATCCTTTTCAGCAAATCATAACTTTTCCAATGACACCTGACAAGACATATCTCGTACAAAATGTATGATAATTATGTCAGAATTATATCAGAATCATTCAATTATGAAGAATATGGGGCACAGTGTCATAACGAGGTCATGAGGAGAATCCGCTCTGTGGCTTTTCAAAGATTCAAATGACAGCAGTAAAGCACATTAGAAAAGAGAATCTCAACTACACATACAAAATGATGGGGTATAAATTAGCTGTTACCAATCAAGAAAGAGATCTTGCGGTCATGGTAGAGAGTTGTCTGAAAACATCTGCTCCATGTGCCACAATAGTCCAAAAAGTTAACAGAATGTTGTGGACCACTAGGGAAGTGATTGATAAGAAGACAGAAAATATAATAATTCCACTCTAGAATATAATATAGTATAATATAATTAATTAATATAAAATGCCACACAACAGACAGTCAACCTGTGGAACGCCTTGCCAGAGGATGTTGTAAAGGCCAAGACCATAATAGAGTTCAAAAAAGAACTAGATAAATTCATGCAGGATAGGTCCATCAATGGCTATTAGTCAGGATGGGCAGGGATGGTGTCCCTCGCCTGTGCTTGTCAGAAGCTGGGAATGAGTGACAGGGGATGGATCACTGGATGATTCCCTGTTCTGTTCATTCCCTCTGGGGCACCTGGCACTGGCCACTGTCGGAAGACAGGACACTGGGCTCGATGGACGTTTGGTCTGATCCAGTAGGGCCATTCTTATGTACTTATGTTTATTTTTGTGCTGAGCTGTCATAAAAATAGAGGGAAGGGTAAAACCCCTTTAAAATCCCTCCTGGCCAGTGGAAAAATCCTCTTACCTGTAAAGGGTTAAGAAGCTAAAGGTAACCTCACTGGCTCCTGACCAAAATGACCAATTAGGAGACAAGATACTTTCGAAAGCTAGGAGGAGGGAGAAAAACAAAGGGCCTGTGTCTGTCTGTGTGATGCTTTTGCTGGATACAGAACAGGAATGGAGTCTTAGAACTTAATCAGTAATCTAGCTAGGTATGTGTTAGATTATGATTTCTTGAAATGCCCGAGAAAATAGCTGTACTGAATAGAATGACTATTCCTGTCTGTGTGTCTTCTTTGTAACTTAAGGTTTTGCCTAGAGGGATTCTCTATGTTTTGAATCTAATTACCCTGTAAGGTATTCACCATCCTGATTTTACAGAGGTGATTCTTTTTTTTACTTCTATTAAAAGTCTTCTTGTAAGGAGACCTTGAGCAGATCACTGAGGACTACGTGGCTCTGGGAAGAAGGATAAAGGAGTTTGAGGATCTAGTAGTGTTCTCGTCCATCCTCCCCGTGGAAGGAAAAGGCCGGGTAGGGACCGTCGAATCATCGATGTCAACGAGTGGCTATGCAGGTGGTGTCGGAGAGAAGGCTTTGGTTTCTTTGACCATGGGATGGTGTTCCATGAAGGAGGAGTGCTGGGCAGAGACGGACTCCACCTAACGAAGAGAGGGAAGAGCATCTTTGCGAGCAGGCTGGCTAACCTAGTGAGGAGGGCTTTGAACTAGGTTCACCGGGGGAAAGAGACCTTTTAAAGCCCTGAGGTAAGTGGGCAAGCAGGATACCGGGAGGAAGCACAGGCAGGAACGTCTATGAGGGGAGGGCTCCAACCTCATACTGAAAATGAGGGGCGATCAGCAGGTTATCTCAAGTGCCTATATACAAATGCACAAAGCCTTGGAAACAAGCAGGGAGAACTGGAGGTCCTGGTGAAGGCAAGGAATTATGATGTGATTGGAATAACAGAGACTTGGTGGGATAACTCACATGACTGGAGTACTATCATGGATGGTTATAAACTGTTCAGGAAGGACAGGCAGAGGCAGAAAAGGTGGGGGAGTTGCACTGTATGTAAGGGAGCAGTATGACTGCTCAGAGCTCTGGTATGAAACTGCAGAAAAACCTGAGTGTCTCTGGATTAAGTTTAGAAGTGTGAGCAACAGGAGTGATGTAGTGGTGGGAGTCTACTATAGACCACCGGACCCGGGGGATGAGGTGGATGAGGCTTTGTTCCAGCAACTCGCAGAAGCTACTAGATCGCAT